GCAATTTGTGCAGCAAACAAGCATGACAGGGCAGCAGGGTTCATCAACATTACAGTACATTTTTCCTGTTTTTAATTACAAGATTTCTCGTGTCATGATTTCTCTGTATTTTGCGTGTCATTCATCTTCCAGAGCTGTTACGTTATTCTGTCGTTTCATCATCAGCAGAAACAGTTAAATGGTAGTAGATGGACTGCACTTACAGTATGTAGCTCTTTTCTACAATCAGCAACCACTCAGAGCGCTTTACAAAATACCAACAGCTGACATTCACACACACATTCACGCATCACACCGATACACACTAATACACTGACGGAGTCGTGCCATCAGAGGCACTTTGGGGTTCAGCATCTTGCCCAAGGACACTTCGACGAGCGGACTGGAGCAGCCGGGGATCAAACCACTGACTTTCTGATTACTGGACAAGCCTGACCGTGGATCAGTGGTAAATTCTATCATTGACAAAACTATATCTCAAAGAGGAGTAAAAGAAGCCATCTACGTCAAACCGGACCATCACTGAGCAGAGGAGGTGGGCTGTGACATCACTTATCTGCCACTTACAGTGCAGTCTTGAGATCACCCCCCAGGCAGCTTAACACCCACCCACACCGTGACCCACGTGACCCCACGGGAGGGTTAAACGCCTGGAACTCCCCACCAGTCGGTTCGCTGCAACGCCTGCAAACCAAAATAAAGCACTGAAACTGGCACACACACTCCCATCTTACGTCAGTAAACATTCCACACACACACACACACACACTCACACACACACACACACACACACACACACACACACTCACACACACACACACACACACTCACACACACACACTCACACACACCGTAACAGACATCCAAACTGTCAGACAAAGACATCAAGCAATAGCACTGAAATACCCAAGGACAGCATCAAACATCCCTGCTCTCCAGAAAACTGGAAAGGAAGCAAAACTAACATCCTCACCCTCCTGTCATTCACGCTACAGCTGGCCAAACTACCAGCCACCCCCCCCCCCACCCTCCATAACCGAGCAGCTGAACCTAAACACTACTCCACCACTGCTGCCTCATATAACCCACATGCACACACATATTAAATATAAGTCAGACACACCACACACACACACACAGGCTTTCTTCTTCCCTTGTTTTGTTTTGTGCCATGGCCCACATCTCGCCCTGTAACCTCAGAAGTCCTCCGCCCCGTTCTGCCTCTCCTGCTGCCAACAAAGACCAAATAAGGCCGAAGCCCCGGGCTCTGCCTCCAGGCGCAGGATTCTTCTAGTTCTGCTTGAATCAGTTAGGAGTGAAGGAGCCGTTCGGACGACGGCTGAATCGACTTCAAGAACCTCAAACAAAGTCCCGTTGCGTTTGTAAAGCTCTTACAGATGCCATGACCTGGGTGACTGAGAATCTTCCCAGACATGAACATTGTTGACTAAAAACACTATTGCGATGTCTTCTTTTGAATCACCTCATCTACTTTAAGCTCCGCCTTCAACAGCTGTCTCCACACATTAATTACTGTATATCCCAGCCTGTATATTCCCGGTCCCTGGAACTAAATGTGACCATCTCTCCTAGCTGGTATAACTACTCATGGTATAAGTTTTGTATTTAAAACTTTACAGAATAACATTTAGTAATACACCTGCGCTCTCTGTGTTTTGTTCTACTGCTCAGGGAGAAAACAACCTTGTAAAATACCTCTTACAGCTGGAAGGCTGGAAATATGAGGTTTATTCTGCAGAGAATGCAACTTCAAAGATTTTATACAGCAGCTGTCAAAACAGTTATGTCCTATCTAAATATTTAAACCCCCAAAGTTTTTTTTTTCATGTTACACCATACAAGCAGAAAGTAATATTTGCAGTCCATAAATATATCATTAACTCCAATTTGACAGTAAACTCAGATACAACCTTCAAATTCAAAGTTTCTAAAATGCTATTGACTAAAGCCACAGCTGCATTTGTGGAGAGTAAAGAAAACATGAGCTGGTATTTGCAGTATTTACATCCTCTTAGAAAGTAGCAGCTTGTTACAAGTTACTGATTAGAATCACAATAACATCAGTGAAGCTACACTGTGATCTCTTATCGATAGTGTGGGGCTAATATCATCTGTCCTGCACTAGAAATGCGTGATTGTCTAAATGATGCATGGGGGAAAAACAGTCAAATATAACAGTACAGTGCAGTAAACATGCAAGCTACATTTAATAAGACAGCTACATTTATATATGTAGTTATTTTCAGTGCTGCTCTTCCCTTCTCAGTTTGGATTCGTGCAGTACATCAATACGAGGGAACTGCTGTTTCTCTTGATGTCTCAACTTTAATCGCGTCAGCAATAGACTCAGACTTGTGTCTTGTATTCTCTGGTCAATCTAGGGAACAGTGGCCCAGCATTTGCAAAATAAGACTTTTTATTGGACCGACTTAAGACAAAGGCGCGTCTATAAAGGCACAAATAAAAGCAGACCAATAAAATAAAAAGCTGATGTAAGAAAATTCGACTTTACCGCAAAACTCTATACCACCCCGCTCTCGGGAGATTTTTGTGAGGCAAATTTTTCCTCCCTCTCTCGCTCTCTCTCTTCTCCTCTTTCACCCTTCCTTCCTCCCTCTCTTTCTCTCTATTGATACCCGTTCCCTCAGGGTCAAGCTCAGTTCAATATTGTAAAAGATCTCCTTATCAATAATTCACAAATACTGACTGCCCACTTCACAGGAAACGCTGCCTCCCTCTGTCTCTCTTCTTGTTCGCTTCACCTCTCTCCACCGCTGCCTCTGCCTCTGAAAACTGCCTCTCTCTTCACTCCTCCCTCTCATACTCTCACCCTGCACTTTCTCTCGCTCTCATCTCTTTTCTTCCTTCAGCCTGCATCTCTACACCTTTTATCTTTGTCTACTGTTTATCTACCTGCATTTCCTCCTTCCTGCCTCCTCCTGCTTTCTCCATCTATTTATTTCTGCACAGAGAACCATGGAGCTGTGTGCTGGCTCCTAAACCTACAGTCTTCAGTGCTAAAGATCAGAAACGCATGCAGAATACAAACAGCCAGTCAGAAATCTCGGGAAGAATCTCTGCTGCTTTTGACTGATTTTTTTTTCTCTTTATTGATCCACATAATCGATTGTGTTTGGACAAATTTAGTTGGCTACCAGTGGTGTCTGGTTAGCAAACCATCACCCTCCCACTGCAGGCTAACAACAGCCCTCTGTGCACAGTCTCTGCTGCAGTTAATGTCATGTTTACAACTAATTCTTTGGCATTAAATTAAAATTCAAAATAATCTTGTTAATTAAACAGAGAAATTACCCTAATCGTCAATAAGGGCTAATCTACATTAGTTTACCTGTACCTGTACACCGTTGAGTCCTCCAACCTGAACTGCCACATACAGTAGGTCATTTGTTCCCACCCTCTGACACGACCCGTCCTGAAATACAATAGCTCCCCTATGGCAGCAGGCATAGCGGACCTTGGTTGCCATGGTTACAACAATAAACATGCGGAGTTGCCAGACCTTCGTTGCCATGCTTACAATCATAAATGGTCATGGCTTGGTTAGGTTCAGGAAAAGGTCACGGTTCAAGTTGAAATAAGTAGCCTATTTCCTTATGATTAGACCATTTTTGTTGTCATGGTTACAATAATAACAAAGTGTTTAAGGTTGTCGAAACAGTCATGGATAAAAGAATCACCATAAACTCCTGGTTTTGTTTACTCATCCCTCTACCCCAACCTCCTCCTTCTCTTTATACTGCGTCACTAAACTTCTTCCCTTTGCTCCTGTCATAATTACTACAGCCACTAGATGTCACCTAGCAACAAAACGTAACTATGGGTCATAACAACCTGATGCACAAACGAACCTATGGGCTCGTTTTTTTACCAGAGGAAAGTCTCAGCTGTTCATGTGGCGAATCACATTTAACTTTTAATTAACGTTTCACAGAAGAAATGTGATCAAATGTTAAACTTACCATATTTAATTCACACTGCCTTCCCCCTCCAATCTGTCATACGGCTAACATTTCATTTTCTCTGTTAGAAAAGCCTGTAGGTTTAATCTCGGGCCTTAAGTGACTTCTCTACCAAACTTTTTGACGAAGAAAGTGGATTTCTCTTTTGTGAGATGTGCCTAATGGGTTTCATCCCTTTGACTTCTGACATAAGCTAGATGTGAGATTTCTGATTCTGGCTGGTGCTAATTAGAGGCAGATTCCCCTGCTGGTGTGGCCAGTAGCTACAGAAACTGGAGAGTTGAAATATGGGGAGGTATTGTTCTCTGAGGGAGAGGAATGGCTTGAATGTTATTTAAATTTAATATTTAAATAAGCTCCTTTTTCAGTCTGATGTCTCGAACAAAAACAGCACACACACAAACACACACACACACACACAGAGAAGAGAGCAAACACACACACACACACGCACGCACGCACGCATGCACGCATGCACAGACCAGAGATGCCAGGGGCATGAATACAGTAGTGTCTTCTTTATACTAATTATACAGCTCCCTCTACTTATCTGTCACATTTAAGACAACATTAAAAGTGTGAAGATTAAAAATGAGACAGAGGGTTGTTAAAAGTCAGAAACTGTGGATGTGTGAAAGCTAATTATCCAACCCAAGTAGATGTGCTGTTAAAATGCCTATCGCATATAATAATGGAAGAATGATCTTTGCTTTAACAAAACCAGAAGAGGTGCCTGTTACGGTCAGAAATAAAGCGGAGAGGAAGAGGTATGAAGCCCACTCATTTACTAAAAAAAAAGCCACACTAAAAGACAAGAAACTGCAGGAGGCTGCAGCAACATACAGAATGTCAATTAACAAACTAATGAGATCAAAGGCTGCGTACGTTTATACGGAGAACCTGAAATGGGGAAAAACAAGGACACAGCTGGAGTTTGTCACGTCTTTCGTTTGTATTTAGCGTCTGGCTGCAACAGTGTGTCAGCAACTGTGGTTTTACCTGAGCGAACGACCAGGTGAGCTTCATGTGCTTGGTTGCTGCGTAGCTGCACTCCAGAAGCCTGGGTCTGCTGTTCACGTCCACCAGACACTTGTTATCGTCGTCGTCGATCGTGGGACTCAGCACCCCCAGGTGAAGCTGCTGGGAGCTGGTGTAGTACACGTTCTGCTGGGGAAGACAAAAGACAGGGGCTCAGGAGAGAGGACTTTTCACACAGGTGTAATGATGAGCTCCGAGTATCTCCATTCAGCCTGAGTAACCCTGTTTCTTCCTCAGCTGTGGAACAACATCATTACGTGGTAATGATTAGTCTGCTCCTGTCATCCTCTTCAATCTGTGTTGTTCATTTCACAAAATCATGGTGCGATTTTAGCCTCTTTTAAACTGCCGTTAAGAAGACCCCCTCCTTATGCCAGCTCTGCTCGTTTACACTGAACCAACCGAAGCCAGTATAATGTTGCCCCAGTGTGTGATTTTATATATGCATGCCGGCTACGTCCACACTACTATGTTTTTGGTTTAAAACGCATCACTTTTGCTACATTTATTCCTGCCGTACACACTTCTCTGGAGTTTTTGAGCACTTAAAACGTTTATGTTTCTCCTACAGTCTTATTTGTACGCAAATCAATTTCATCAATCACCCAAAAGGAGTGATTTCTGGGTTCTCTGCACACTCGTATGTATGTATGTTTGCATGTTAGAATGACCTCAGATGCAACTTAACACATACCTCGACCTCCACTTCATGCCTTTTTCTACTTGCAGTTGGATATCTTTTCATTTTTTATTTTTGTATTATCTGTACTGCACAGTATATTTTATTTTACTATGTAGTATTTTATATAGTACATTTATACTGCACTCACTGAACACTTTATTAGGAACACCATACTAATACTGAGTAGTTCCTCCCTGTGCTCTCAAACAGCCTCAGTTCTTCATGTCATGGATTCCACGAGATGTTGGAAACTTTCCTTTGAGATTCTGCTCCATGTTGACATGACTGCATCACATCATTTCTGGAGATTTGTCAGCTGCACATTCATGCTGCCAATCTCCTGTTCTACCACGTCTCAGGGGAGTTCAACTGGATTCAGATCCAGTGACTGCAAACTGAACTCACTGTCACGTTCATGAAACCAGTTTGAGACGACTTTTACTTTGTGACATTATCATGCTGGAATTAGATATAAGGAGATGGTACACTGTCATAAAGGGATGCACATGGTCAGCAGCAATACTCAGATAGGCATGATTGACCGGTATTAAGAGACACACCAACACTTACGGCCTGATTGCTTGATTTAGCACCATCAGTTAAAACTACTTTTTTTTTTTTACTACCATACTACTACTCAAGTATCTTGGGCAAAATATACAGTACCAAAACTGAGACAACAGATGCTTCTACATTTCATAATAATGCACCTTTGCAAATGCCACACTATAGTCTATATATAGTCAACGTGGGTTTTGGTCATTAGACTGTTTTTTGAATGTTGGTTGTACTTTCTTTCACCTCAATTGTAAAATTTGCCGATTTCTCTACACAATATTCTCACTTATAGTGTTGTGAGAAATAAACAGGCTGCCTGTAACTGATCTAATTAAAGAGGAAAACAGAAGGTAAGAAGAAAAGGAGGAGGAAATGTTCAGATTGCGAGAGATGAAGGAGGGAGAGAGAGAGGTCAGGGATGGAACAGTAGATTCTGGCTAAATATTAGCTGAGGAAACTTTGCATACCTGAAAACAACAACAAAAAAAAACAAAAAAACAAAACACATGGTAATGAATGCAAATGTTGGCCCAGTTTTGAAGCCTGCAAAAAATGCCTAGTGAGGTGAATCAAACACACCTTAAGTAGTTTGAAAATTCAAAGTGAGACATACATTTCGCAGAGTCTGACGGAAAAGGAAAAAGATGAGACAAAGAATCACAGAAAACCTGACATGAGTAAAGTAAATGAGGACGATCAAGGTCGAAATGAAATCAAAACAAGCATAAAAAGTTGAGATCAAGGCGTAACAGGAGAATAAGCAAAAGAAGCAGCACTGCTCAGAACAAATGGAAACGCTGGCTTTGTGCTCCAACTCTGAGAGTGTGTGATTTTCCACAGGAGTGTGTGGAAGCTCTGAGGAGGTAATTGATGAGAATGATGACCGCCTTGCAGGAACAGGACATTTTTAGATAGGGGCCATTATCGCACTGTGAAGCAGCCGCAGAGCTTTTAAGCTGCTGTTTAAAAACACCTCAAGACAGACAACACCAGAGACTGATGTGTGCATGCGTGTGCATTAAGTGTCTGAGTGCGTCGAGTATGTGCAAACGCTACTGAGTGAGCAATCTGTTTTTTCTGTGTATGTGCATGTGCGCTAATACGAGTGATTAAGCTTGCATCTGTCAATAGATTGGTGCTCAGCTCCCAACAGAGGGCTTAATGCTATCTCCTCTCCTGTCACGGCTTCTTAAAACCTCTAATAGAAGGATTAGCACAGTGCCGCGCTAGACAGACAGCAATCTCCCCTGACAGATGTACACATTAACAAGTGTGGACAAAAGAAAGGCTGTAAGCTGGGTTGATTTTCTGGGTTTTAATGTCACCTTTCAGCAGATGACATTTTGATCTGAGCAAAATCAAAAAAGTTGCACTTTGGTGATCTTAAATATATCATATAATTAGATGTAAAGGCAAATGTTGTTCACTGTCAACACCAGGCAGATGCTGCATGACTAATGCTCAAGTTCAGAGGGGTTCGTTAATGGAGCATCAGTCTTGTTTACGTAAAAGCCGGTACTGACAGTACAACTACGATCAGAGGCTCCTAAAAGCTGCAGCATTCATTACATTCTAATAAACAAGATATTGACAAGTTTGCTTTTCAGAAAGCCTTTGAAGATTCTCCTTATGGATGAGTCAGAACATTGCATTGGCATTCTGCCTGTTAGATTTCGACATTTCTTCTGCACAAGTGGAAAATTTGGCCTGAAGGTGGTGTGAGTTGAAAGGTCAGGAGGTTGCCATAACTGTCATCCCATGAAAAATGGGAGCATCAGTCGTTTCAACAAGTGCCCATTAATGTGCGTTTATGTTCAAGAGACAAAGCTGTCTAACAGCCATAGTAATTAAGTAGGAACTACTACACTTGAATTTAAATTTGCACTTGTTGAAAATTGGGGCACCACCTCCAACTGAGGATAAACAGACAAACCAAATTAATGAGTCGTATAATCAGGAGTAGTAAACTCTGGGATCTCTGTGTCTGCTTTGAAGGAACGCACAAAATCACAACCTGGACATAAATGAGGATTTATTTATTGCTACATTTCTATAAGCAACTCAGAGAACACTCAGGGTGTGTGAGAGAGGGAGCATGTGGGTGGTTGTGTGTGGGTGTGATACAGAGAGTGAGAGAGAGTGCTGATAACACTGACATATCGCAGTTTTGATTCCAGTGATTCGCAGGTAGTGTTAATATACCAGGATATGCCGCTTTGTGCCAACAAAGTCAGGGAAGAAGAGAACCGTTAGAAAGCATGTAAATTATGCAGGTTTGTAAAAATTTTAAATGTAACTGACAAATGTTTCATAAGGGAGGTCATGCATTCAACATGTTTTTATATTTCAAGGATACACACAATCCGTGCTCATCCGTACTGTAAAAACAGTAGCGATCCTGCACTCTGAGGGGCCCCAGGCAAAGAAGCACATTGAAGAATGCTACAATTCACAAATGTTCCCTGAATGCCTCACAGGCAGTTACGGCACACATCATCAGGGGCCCCACTTGTGGGGTTTTGGGGGCAATAACAGTGCATTGTATAGTGTCCGTATGGGAGGTTTAAGTGGGTTTATTGTTGTCATTTCAAAATGTGTGCAATATGAAGGGCCCCCTTTTCCCCTTGGGTGCCCCAAACATTTGTCTGGTTTATCTCTCCTGACGGTGCACCCATGTGTTTTAAAAAATAAAGTTTGTTTGCAGGAAAACTGCGCGTGTGTATCCTTAATCGTAGTTATTTTAACCCAAACCATGGTTTAACCCTAATCCAAACCAAAAACCTAATCAAACCTTAAAGGAGCTACATGTAAGTTTTGCTATTGCTACATAGCCTACGCTAGCATTAACAGCTGTTCTAGTCGAGAGGAGTTCAGCATCAAACTTCATTCCTTCACTCACTAAGAGCTTAACTCTTGTCTCTATGACGTCTTTTCTTCTACTGAAGTTAGCACGCTAATCAGTTAGCTAGTCACTTTCTGATAGCGTCTCACTGTAGCCTCCAATCTGCCTTGAAGACGTAGCGCTGCTCAGAGGGCGTATTAAAACCCTCTTGGCTTGTAAACACAACAATGGCTGAAGCTCTTGTCGAGAGGCCACCACCACCACCTTCTCCTGGCAAGAAACCCCCTTCAGAGAAAACAAATAGCCCCATTAACCACAGTATTGTCAGATCGTAAAAAATACTTTTATTTTTCCAACAGTGGTTTGTAAAAGTTCTGGAAAGCACAGATGAATTCTGTCATCCCACTGATGGAAGTGTCAGAGCAAAAAAACATTTTATGTGTCATTCTGGAAGGAAATGACAAATGACATATCACGCTGTTTAACTTGTGACAATCATATATCCAGCAAGTTTTTAAAAGGCCGGTTTTATTTTCTTGATTTCATTTTAAAAACGGTCATTGCAAAACCTCCATCACTTTTTTCTGTTCATTTTTTAATTGGCCTTCAATAATAGTGACACAGTTGACCCCTAAAGCGCTGAGTTAGACAGACAGGCCCATTTGTTTGCTTCTTGGATGTCTAGTTTTTGTTCCGGTATGAATGTGACTTTGTTCAAAAGCGAGGCTCCTGGTGAGCTTCTTACTGACAGCAAGATATGTAGTCAGCCAGGCTAATCACTGGTGTTTCCCTCAGCCATCTGCTCTGGTGGCGAGAAGACAGCACACAAACACACACAACACCAGCATACACACACACACACACACAACAGCGGCGAAGCTGTCTCAGTACATAATGAAAAGGATCATCCAGACGAGTGGCGCAGACAGAGGCAGAGGGGGAGAGTTTAAGAGAGAGAGAGCAGACAATCAGGTTAACTCCGGGAAAGAAGGTATTTATAGGTACAGGTAGCAAACTGACTAAAAAAACTTTCCTCTTACTACT